CCAGGTAATGGTTCCTTCTTATAACATGACCAAAGTAGGTGAGATGAAACCTGGCCATCCTTGCTTCCAAGGAGCATTCTGGCTGCACTTCTTCCAGGAAAGATCTGTTAGTCCTCTTAGCAGACTATGGTACTCTTACCACTCTTCTCCAACTCCACAGCTCAAAAGCATCAACTCTTCTTCGGTCTTCCTTATTTATTGTCCAGCTCTCACATGCATAAGAGGTGACTAAAAATACCAAGTCTTGGGTTGGGTGCACCTTAGTCTTCAGAGAGACATTTTTGCTCTTCATCACTTTAAAGAGGTCTTTTGCAGCAAATGTGCCCAATGCAATACGTCTTCTGATGTCTTGACTGCTGCTTCCATTGGTGTTGATTGTAAAACCAGGTAATATGAAATCCTTGACAATTTCAGTCTTTTCTCCATCTATAATGACGCTGTTTATTGGGCCAGTTGTGAGGATTTTTTGATTTCTTTATAATGAAGTGTAATCCATACTGCAGACTGTAGTCTTTAATCTTCATTAGTAAGTGTTTCAAGTCATCCTCACTTTCAGCAAGCAAAGTTCTGTCACCTGCATATCACAGGTTGTTAATGAGTCTTCCTCCTATCCTGATGCCACATTCTTCCTCATATTATCCAGCTTCTTGGATTATTTCCTCAGCATACAAATTGAGTAAGTATGGTGATAGGATACAACCTTGACACACTCCTTTCTTGACTGTGAACCATGCAGTATCCCCTTGTTCTGTTTGAATGACAGCCTCCTGATCGATGTACATGTTCCTCTTGAGTATAATCAAGTGTTCTGGAATTCCCATTCTTCTCAATGTTATACATAATTTGTTATGATCCATGCAATTCAATGCTTTTATGTAGTCAATAAAGCATAAGTAAACATCTTTCTGGTATTCTTGGCTTTCATGTAAGATCCATCTGACATCAGCAATGATATCCCTTGTTCCTTCTCTTGTTCCACATCCTCTTCTGAACCCAGCTTGCATTTCTGGAAGTTCTCTGTCAATATACGAATGCAACTGTTTTTAAATTATCTTCAGTAAGGTTTTACTTTTATGTGATATTAATGATATTTTTCGATGATTTGCACGTTCTGTGGGATCACCTTTCTTTGGAATGGACACAAATATGAATCTCCTCCAGTCAGTTGGCCAGGTAGCTGTCTTCCAAATCTCTTGGCATAACCGAGTGAATGCCTCAAGCATGGCATCCATTTGCTGAAACATCTCAATGGGTATTTTGTCAATTCCTGGAGCCTTGTTCTTCACCAATTCCTTCAGTGCAGCTTCGACTTCTTTCTTCCATACCATTGGTTCTTGATCATATGCCACCTCCTAAAATGGATGAACACCAACCAATTCTTTTTAGTACAGTGACTCTGTGTATTCCTTCCATCTTCTTTTGAGGCTTCCTGCATTATTCAATATTTTTCCCACAGAATCTTTCAATATTGCAGCTCAATGCTTAAATTTTTTCCTCAGTTCTTTCAGCTTGAGAAATGCTGAGCGTGTTCTTCCCTTTTGGTTTTCTAACTCCATGTTAAAAGTGAGAAGGGCCAGACTTCATCTCACCTACTTTGGTCATGTTGTCAAAAGGAACCATTACCTGAAGAAGGATATCATGCACATTTCATTATAGTAATTGGCTTTGTGTTCTCCAGCTGCTCTTTGAAATCTTCTGTTCAGCATTTTTATCTTGTCATTTCTCCCATTTGCTTTAGCTACTCTCCATTCAAGGGCAAGTTTCAGAGTCTCTTCTGACATTCATTCTGGTCTTTTCCTCCTTCCTTGTCATTTTAATGAACTCTTGCTTTCTTCATGGATGATGTTCTTGATATCATCCCACAATTCCTCTGGTTTTTGGTCATTTGTGTTCAATGCATCAAATCTATTCTTTAAATGATCTCTAAATTCATTCAGGAGGGATATTATCAAGGTCACATTTTGGATCTTGTGGATTTGTTTTACTTGTCTTCAACTTCAACTTAAACATGCATATGAGCAGCTGATGGTCTGTTCCATGATCAGTTCCTGGCCTTGTTTTGGCCGAAGATACTGAACTTCTCCATCGCTTCTTGCCACAGATGTAGTCAATCTGATTCCTGGTATTCCATCTGGTGAAGTCCACATGTATAGTCATCACTTACGCTGTTGAAAAAAAAGGTATTTTCAATGAATAAGCCATTGGTCTTGCAAAATTCTATGATGCGATCTCCACTGATAATTCTATTTCCATGGCTGTTGGAGACCAAGAAAAAGACCCCCAAAAGAACATGATTGGAAGGCACATGTTCTAATTACAGTGAAGAGATGGCAAGGCCTCTCTTGTGGTTGAATGTTTGCTTTAAGAGATGGCAAGGTCTCTGTCACTGTTAAACACTTAATTGGCAAAACATCAGGTATTAAAAGTAGGTGTTATTCCAACAGTCCGTGTTTTTATCTTATTGGGATGTTTCATACTTTGGGTCATTGTGTCCTAGTAAACATTTATCGTTTTACACTCCTTATTCCTGAGGAGACTTCTGTGATTGTTTTAATGACCACCTGTTGTCCTTGAGCATGTAGAGGAGTGAAACTTTAACTTTGTACAGAATAAGCTGATTTATGAATTCCAAGACTAATGATGTACTCATGTACAAACATATAAATAAAGTAGAACAAAGGCATCAGGGGTCACACTCACAGAACATGAAGGGCGTCCACTTGGCCCCCATTCCTTTTAAAAAACCATTAATCCTTTCATGTCACTTCATTTTGCAACCTGTGCGGTTTTGCTGGACATGGCACAAGGCCATATTTTCCAACTACCAGTAACTCTTGTTTCCAACTTTTGCATTCCAGTCACCAATGATAATCAACAGTTCTTTATTGCCTGTTCAGTCAATTTCAGACTGCAGAAGTTGGTAGAAATTTTCAATTTCCTCATCTTTGGCTTTGGTGGTTGGTGTGTAAATTTGAATAATAGTAGTATTAACTGGTCTTCTTGTAGGTGTATGGATATTATCCTATCACTGACAGCATTGTACTTCAGGACAGATCTTGAAACACTCTTTGTGATGATGAATGGCATGCCATTCCTCTTCAATTTTTCATTCCTACCATAGTAGATAATATGGTTGTCTAAGTCATAATGGCCAAAGCTAGCCCATTTCAGCTCACTAATGCCCAGGATATCGATCCTTATGTGTTCCACTTCATTTCTGACAACTTCCAGTTTTTCTGGATTCATACTTCATACATTCCATGTTCCAATTATTAATGGTTGTTTGCATCTGTTTCTACTTTGAGTCTTTCCACATCAGCCAAAGGATGTCCTAAAAGCTTTACTCTATCCATATTGTTAATATCGTCTCTACTCTCAGGAGTCAACTCTTCCCCAATCAAATTTTGAGTGCCTTCCAACCTGATGGGTTCATCTTCCAGCACTATATCAGACAATGTTTCAGGGCTATTCATAAAGTTTTCAAGAAATATATCAGTGTTTCACTGCTATTTGTAAGATTTTCACTGGCCAATTCTTTGAGAAGTGAATGGCCTCTTCTTCTTCCAAGTCTGTCTTAGCCCAGAAGCTCCACCAAAACCTTTCCACCATGGATAACCCTGCTAGCATTTTGCAATACGGCGGTTTAGCCTCCAGCCTCACAACAACACATAAGCCACCACAGGACAACAAACTGACAGACAAGTTTGTCTCCCTTAGTTGTTCCTAACCCTTCTGCACCTGCCTTAAAATAGAGCTACCCTCAAGCAAAAAGCAGCCTCCCATCCCTGGGAATCCTTAGCAATGTTTATTGTCAATTTTAATCATAGAATAATATGCGATAAATATAGTCATAAATTGCTTAAGTATAATATTTCTTAGATCATATGTACACTAACGACAGAATTGTTTTGTAACATCTTTCTACATTGAATTACATTATTAGCCACAACATTATTAGTAACTGAGAATGCTTTTTTGATTTTTCTTTTTCCTTTGTTACCACTTCATTCTTAAGAAAGTTATTGATATAGGTTCACAAATAATAATTACCACAACCATTATAGCTAAAACATCAGAAAATCTGACAAAATCAGCAACTATAAAAATACCAACAGCAATGAAAACAGAGCATGCTTATAGCATGTGCAGAGAAAACCACACAATTCGAAGCATCACTGTAACTGGGTAATAATGACAGCTCTGGTACGAGCTCATTAGAAGGTTCGAAAGGTAAGTTAGTATAGAGTTTTAGCCTTGTAGGTACACTGATACATGTAAGCTGAGCTTACAAAAAATGTTCTTATGATATAACTAACTACAAGCATATTTTTATAATTAATTAATTAATTTCTGCTGAAACACTGCACTGAAATTTTTTAGACAATCATTTTGGTGTCACATCCTGTGACAGTGCCACCCAGGGCAGTCTTCATCCCCTAGTGATGCCATTGCTAATGTGTGAGCAGCTGAAGGGCTTACTCATATTGAGTACTAAAAAAATGGTTGTAGACAGAATAAAAGAAAACCTAAGGTTATCCTGTTGTATATACATCAAGATACTCACTATAGACAGAAGTATATGGCAGAAAAGAAAATAAAACTTTAATGCTTTGAAAAAGGAGATGTTCAAAACTTTTTTTCCCGTAAGTCATATTTATTTGAAACACCAAGACTTTTTATATTCAAATACTCCCAGGTATTTTGCATCAGTTAGATGCAATGTATGAAGAATGATGAGGCATAGAGAAAGTCTGTATTTTCACCTCCAGAAAATAATCACTGCCTAAGACTGTGGACTTCCCTGTGCTATTCTCAGTAAACAGTAAATCACAGCAAATGCTCCACAACACCCTAAAAACGTCATAATGTAGAACTGGATCACTGAGAAAAATCTTGACAATTTGACAACACAGGACAGATACAGGAAATCAGAATTTGGTACCATGCTTTATACTTAATATTTTAAAAATGATAAAAAGCTTATGTAACCATTTTCTTACTTTTCTTTCCTACTGCCCAGCTGGCGAGCGGTGTATTGATCCCCATAGTCAATTAGTACCAGTTGTCGAGAGAAGATATTCACTTTGTTGCCTATAAATAAATCTTCCAAGTGCAGGTTATCATACTTGGTCCGCTTTAAAAATGTACGATGATTCTTTATGTCATGCTAGAACCAAAAACATCAACACAGCAAAACAGGTACTTATCAGTAGGGAATGTTAATCTCATTATAAACTAGAAATAATTCTCAATTCTATCATATAAAAGATAAGTTCTATTCTTTTTCTTTTTAGCTAAATATAAATTTTTTATATTATAACTTTCATATTTCCTAGTTCAATGCAATAAACATGTAAAAAATTTCTTATGACAAAGTTAATACTACAAAAAAAAAAAAAAAAACGTGTATTTAGAAAAATGTATTTTCAACTCACTTGAGCAAAGCACTGGCTATTAAACCCCAGAGAAAGACAGTCAGACATCCAGATCTCTGCTTTCTTGCCTATAGAAAATCCCAATACCAAATAGATCCATTTGTAAAAAGGTTTGCCAAGGAAAGAACACAAACAAATAAGCAGGACCCTCTTTGTACAATCTTCTTCAATTTTAATTTTTGTAGAGATAACAGTTTTCAGTAATGACAACATATTTATAGTGTTGTTATTAGGTGCCATCAAGTCAGTTCCAACTCACAGTGACTCTACATAAAACAGAACAAAACACTGCCCATTCCTGTGCCAGCCTCACAATCCTTCCTATGCTTGAGCCCACTGTGGCAGCCACTGTGATGTCAATCCATCTCATTGAGGGTCCTCCCCTTTTTCACTGACTCTTTACTTTACCCAACATGATACCCTTCTACAGGGACTGATTCCTCCTGATAACATGACCTAAGTACGAGAGATGAGGTCTGGCCATTCTTGCTTCTGAAGAGCATTCCTGCTGTACTACTTCTAAGACGTATATATTGTTCATTCTTCTGGCAGTCCATGGTATATTCAATATTCTTTGTCAACACCACAATTCTTTTGCATTAATTCTTTTGCAGTATTCCTTATTCATTGTCCAGTTCTAACATGCATATTGGGTTAATGAAAATAATATAGCTTGGATCACGTGGGCACACTTTAGATGTTCAAAGTAACATCTTTGCCTTTAACATTTAAACTCTGGCAGTAGATTTGTCCAATGCAATACACTGACTGCTACTTCCACAGTGGTTGATTGTGAATCCAAGTAATATTAAATTCTTGACAGCTTCAATCTTGTCTCCATTTGTCATGATGTTGCTTATTGGTCTAGTTGTGAGGATTTTTTTCTTTATGTTGAGGTGTAATTCATACTGAAGGCTACAGTCTTTCATCTTCATCAGTAAGTGCTTCAAGTCATCTTCACTTCCAGCAAGCAAGGTTGTGCCATCTGCATATCACAGGTTGTTAATGAGTCTTCCTCCAATCCTGAGTACTCATTTTTCTTCATATAGTCCAGCTTCTCAGATTATCTGCTCACCATACAGATTGAATGAGTAAAGATACAGACCTGATACACACCTTTCCTGCTTTTAAACCATGAAGTATCCCCTTGTTCTGTTCAAACAACTGCCTCTTCATCTATGTACAAATTCCTTATGAACACAATTAAGTGTTCTGGAATTCCCTTCTTTGCAAGGTCATCCATAATTTGTTAAGATCCACAGAGCTGAATGTCTTTGCATAGTCAATAAAACACAGGTAAACATCTTTCTAGTATTCTTTACTTTCAGCCAAGATCCATCTGACATCAGCAATGATATCCCTCATTCCACATCCTCTTCTGAATCTAGTTTCAATTTCTGGCAGTTCCTTCTCAATATACTGTTGCAACAGTTTTTTAATTATTTTCAGCAAAATTTCACTTGTGTGTGATATTAATGATGTTGTTGTTGTTGTTATGTGCCGTCAAGTCGCACCCGACTCATAGCAACCCCTCCTTGGGTATCCGAGGCAGTATCCTACGGAAGTAGATTGCCCCATCTCCCCTTCCAAGGAGTGGCTGGTGGGTTTGAACTGCAGTCTTCTGGTTAGTGCCTTTAGGCAAGACACTGCCATCATTCAATAATTTCTGCATTCTATTGAATCACCTTTCTTTGGAAAGGGCACAAATATGGATCTTTCCACTCAGTTGGCTGGGTAGCTCTCTTCCAAATTTCTTGGCATAGCTGAGTGAGTGCTGCCAGCATTTCAGCCATTTGTTCAAACATCTCAATGGCATTCTATCAGTTCCAGGAGCTTTGTTTTTCACAAATTTCTCCAGTGCAGTTTCTTCTTCATCACCATCAGTTCTTGATTATATGCTACTTTCTGAAATGGTTTAATGTCCACCAATTCTTTTTGTACAGTGACTTTGTGTATTTCTTCCATCTTTGTCTGATGCTTCTAGAATTGTTCAATATTTTACCCATTGAACCCTTCAATATTGCAACTTGAGGCTTTAATTTTTTCTTCAGTTCTTTTGGCTTGAGAAATGCCAACTGTATTCCTCCATTTTGATCGTTAAACTCCAGGTCTTTGCATATTTCATTATGATACTTTACACTGTCTTCTCAAGCTGCCCTTGGAAATCTTCTGTTCAGATCTTTTATGTCATCATTTCTTCCATTCACTTTAGCTACGCTCTGTTCAAGAGCAAGTTTCAGAGTCTCTTCTGACATCCATTTGATCTTATTTTGTTTTCCTGTCTTTTTAATAACCTTTTGCTTTCTTCATGTATGTTCTTAACATTACCTTACAATTTGTCGGGTCTTTGTTTATTGGCGTTCAATGCATCAAATCTATTCTTTAGATGGTCTCTAAATTCAGGTGGTATGTACACAAGGTCATATTTTGGCTCTTGCCACTCCTCAGAAGGAAGGTTGGACAATCTACTTCCATAGTGATATCGCCTTGGAAACCCAAGGAGGGGTCACTATGAGTTGGATCCGACTCCATGGCAGTGAGTTTGGTTTTTTCGGTTTGGACTTGTTTTAACTCTCTTTAGCTTCAACTTGAACTTGTATGTGAGCAATTGATGGTCTATCTATTCTCCAGTCAGTGTCTAGCCTTGTTCTGACTGATGATATTGAGGTTCTCTGTCACCGCTTTCCACAGATGTTATCAATTCGATTCCTGTGTATTCCATCTGGTGAGGTCCATGTGAATAGTTGTTGTTTATGTTGTTGATAAAAAGGTATTTGCAATGAAAAAGTCATAGGTCTATAAAATTCTATCATGCAATCTCAGCCATCATTTCTACTACCAACACCATTATTATCCAACTACCAAAGCTGCTTCTTTGTTTTCCCAACTCTTGCATTTCAATCACCTATAATACTTAACACATCTTGTTTGCATGTTTGGTCAATTTCAGACTGCAGAAGTTGGTAAAAATCTTCAGTTTCTTCATCTTTGGCTTCAGTGGTTGGTGAGTAAATATGAATAATAATAGAATTAACTGGTCTTCTTGTAGGCATATGGATATTATCCTATCACTGACAGCAGTGTATTCAGGATAGATCTTGAAATGTTCTTTTAGACAATGAATGTGTGGCTATTCCTCTTCAATCTGTCATTCTCAGCATAGTAGACCATATGTCAGTTTGTCATCTTGTAGCATCTTGCATATTACTATGATGCCAGAAGCTATTGACTCAAGAATTTCAAATACCAGCAGGGTCACCCAGGGTGGACAGGTTTCAGCAGAGATTTCAGACTAAGACAGTTTAGAAAGAAGAGGCAGTCCACTTTAGAAAAAAAATGGCCACTGAAAACTTTATGAACAGCAGGGAAACACTGTCAGATATAGTGCCAAAAGATGAACCCCTCAGGTTTGAGGACACTCAAAATACGACTGGAGAAGAGCTGCCTCCTCAAAGTAGAGGCCACCTTAATGACATGGATGGAGTAAAAGCTTTCAGGACCTTCATTTGCTGATATGGTATGACTTAAAATGAGAAGAAACAGATACAAACACCCACTAATAATCAGAATAGAAAATGTATAAAGTATGAATCTAGGAAAATTAGAAGTTGAAACTGAAATGGAACACATAAAGATCACTATCCTAGGCATCAGTGAGCTAAAATGGACTGGTATTGGCCATTGTGAATCACACAGTCATATGGTCTACTATGCTGGGAATGACCTATTTACAGCATGTCATAAATTATAAACTTTTTCTATACACATTACTCTTCTTTAATCCATGACACATATAATCCTCCTTCAGTTTTCTAACGTAAAAATATTAATTCTTATGTTTAACATTAAAAATAAAGGTACAGAGAAATCTTCGTTTAGTGGAATTACAATGAATACAGAAAGAGTTCCAATATGTTGTTGTTGTTGTTGTTATGTGCCGTCGAGTCAGCCCTGTTCCAATAAAATATATTTGCAAAAATACATATATATATGCAGAAATCTTCATTTAGTGGAATTACAATGAATATAGGAAGAGTTCCAATATATATATTTGCAAAAATACACATATAGTATGTGTGTGTATAGTTTTAACACAACTATATAAAAGGCAACCCTGTTGTTGCTGTTGTTGTTATGTGCCGTTGAGTCAGACCCAACTCACAGCAACCCCTCCTTGAGTTTCCAAGGCGGTATCACTAAGGAAGTAGATTGCCCAACCTTCCTTACAAGGAGTGGCTGGTGGGTTTGAACCACCAGCCTTCTGGTTAGCAGTCAAGTGCCTCAGGCACTATGTTAATCTCCATATTCACATTTATCCCCTTTGCCCACTTTCAAGTAAGAAAGGCTCACTTACCATTTCAACAGATCCATCCGCTGGGTAAAATAAAAGCTCATAACGTCGAAGAAGTGAAGCATTTGGATCATACCACTCTGCAATGAAAGCGTATCTTTCACTATGATTCTGCAAAGAAAGACGGGAGAATTTCAATGACATATTAAAATATAAGCACTCTTGTATTAGTTATACCAAAAAAAAAAAAAAAAAAATCACCAAGTATTTGAGATAAACATTATTACTTATTAACTATACTGAATTATTCTGCTTTTCAATAATATATCAGCAGTTACCAACATGCCCTCATAAATGGTTCCTTTTAATTTCTCATTAAAGATTCTTAGGTGTCGCAAGGACAACTTTATGAGTATGATGGCTTCGTGCTCCACAGCCATCCAATCATCCTGAGTAAATTAACATTTTCCCTTAATCTGACTACTATAATAATTCAAAGGCCCTTCTGAAAGCAAGTTACATGTAAGAAAAAGAACATCAATAAAGTAATATAAGCTATTCTGAGAGGATAGTGCTTAATTATATGACATTTTAACTTTCTTAAATTTAAGAATCTAGCAGTATTAAAATATGTTTGTCATTACAATTACAGTAAACATCCTTTCATATGAAATTACTAAATTTCATATGATTGTATCTTTTTATAGAAATAGTAGGAGAACGTGCTAGTCTGTTCCCCTAAGAAGTAGATATATCTTAAGACAGAATTAAACATTCAAGAATTTTATTAACAGAAATTCCATGAGGAGGGAGCCAAGGAAGACTTGGAAAGTTGACAGGCTGCAATGTAGATATGACACCGAGTGACAGAAAGAGGAAAGAAACTGTAGATGGAACCATCCTAGAAAGATGTCCAATCTAAGAAAGGTTCAATAAGGTCATCAGCAAGTGTTCAAGGCAAACTTGGTCATGAGAAGAGTCCCTTGTCTGCCAAGGATGGGCCTGCTTTACTATCCCTGCTCCTCTCAATCACTGGCTGAGAGTTGCCCTTGGGAAACATAGCCCAGGTACAAAAGCAGCAGCGTAGCTCCTACCTATGACAGCCACATGTGTACAAACTGCTCCACAGCATTTTCAAGGCTGTGACCTTTCAGAAACAGATCATCAGACCTGTCTTCTGAGTGGGTTCAAACCTTCAACTTTTTAGTTAGCAAAAAAAGCATGCCATTGCCATCAAGTTGATTTGGACTGATAGCGACCCTACAGAACAGTGTAGAACTGCCCCACAAGATTTCCAGGCTATATCTTTACAGAAGCAGACTGCCACATCTTTCTCCCATAGAGCAGCTAGTAGGTTCAAACTACCAACCTTTTGGTTAGCAGTCCTCAAGAACTTAACCACTGTGCCACCAGGGCTCCTTTTCCTACTAGTAAACATGCACTTAGCTACTTGTGGGTAATAGCACAAATGAACACAAATTTTCAGCTCTTCTGATGAAAATATCACCACCTGGGATGATCACAGAGCTCTCTCTGGTGGCGTAGTGCCTAAGGCATTTGACTGCTAACCAGAAGGCTGGTGCTTCAAACTCACCTGGGCAATCTACTTCCGTAAAGATACTGCCTCAAAAACCCAAGGAGGGATCGCTACGAGTCAACATCAACTCAAGGCCAGTGAGTTTGGTTTGTAGGTTTTTTGAGGGATGATCACAGGGTCAATCATTCATTCCCTCTTCATTGAAGATTTATTTTTCTGACAGAACATTTTAAGATTAACTGGACAAAAAGAGACTGCTCCTTAAAGAAGCCAAATCATGTTCACCTTCTGAAAATTTTAGACATAATTTATATGTCAGAAGGAACGTTGAGCAATCTACTTCCGTGGTGATACTGCCTCAGAAACCCAAGGAGGGGTCGCTAAGAGTCGGGTCCTACTCCACGGCACATAACAACAACAACAACAATTTATATGTAATAAAACAGTAGATTCTTCACAACTGTTGTGGTGAAACACCAGATTTAATGCTTCTCTAGAATTAAAACCAGAAAGTTTTACTGAAGGAATGATAACATTTCACGAAAACGAGAGACATACCATCTTTCAGGTAGAATGCTGCTAAGTGCTTTAAACTGCAGAGAGAGACAGCAGTTTTTATCAGGTCGAAGGAGGGCACTGAGAGGGGGAAGAAGCATACCAAAATTTAAAAGGGCTGTTCACTACATACAGTAAGCCTATTTGTTACATCTGAGGTTGTTACATCCTAAGAGTTGTTTAACAAAGCTTTCTACCAGGAGCTAATTTTCCATCATGGCTGCAATCTATCACTCCCCTCACAATTTGTTGTTGTTGTTGCTATGTGCCCTC